AGAAAGCTAAATATTTATGAAGTAGGGCGTTAGAAATTATTGTTTTCCTATCCAAGCAGCTGCTGGGAGTGCCAAACTTTGCCTTGTACTAACAATACCGTTGCCTAGCTAATCATGGGAGCTAGGGCTTGCTGTGCTGATCATCACCACTCTGGCAGAAGAGATAATGAGCTGCTGACAAGGATGCATCTGGAATCTGGCCAGCATTGCACTGCACTGCACGAGATACTGTGTGCTGCTTCTTCCTTCCCAAACCAGGACAATAGATTTCTGTTCCTTAGCATAGTGTCACCTTGCTCTCTTGTAGCTCACTCCATTTCCTTGATGCAGTTTGAATAAAATGAATGGCTTAAGAATGAAAAGTTTACACAAAGGGAAGAAAGCATGTCTCGGTAAATTCAAATCCTTTGTAAACTAATCTGGTTTTGTATGCTTGCATTTAGCGATCTTGAATACTGGACAGTATATTTGAGAAATCAGCTTTAAGGAGTATTTTCTTTTGTGGAGAAAGCAAACTTGGCAGCATGAAAATCAGGTGTATTGCAATGGCATCACTGTGCATCTTCCTTTCTGTGTTGGGCTTGCCACAGTCTTCATTCTTGTAATGAGGTTGTGCTGGTATTTTTAGATGGGATTGCAGGCAGCAGTGTTGTAATCAAAATTTAATTCAGTACTATAGCAAACAAGTGGGCTGCTGTTGGGCCTTTCCATGTGGCAGGATTTGAAGGAGGAGAGCAGTGCATTTGCTCATTGCTGTTGCCTTCTTCAGATTTCACTTCAATCATCCCCTGTTGATATAAGTGAAAAGGTAGTAAGTGCTATTTATACCCTCCTGGACATGCATACACTACTTGCAAAATATGGATTGTTTTGTCTTGCTGTCATGCTGCTGAGCTGTATTGTTGTGGTAGAGTTGGGGAATTTTCATCCTAATCTCGGCTCCTCTTCAACTCCCAGTTTTGGATATGCCAGCTGGGGGAGTTACCCAGATGTTTGAGTCTGTGCTGACCTGTGCTTTGTCAATTTACCCTTCAAATACTGGTTAAGCAAATGCAGTAAATTGTGTTTCAGCCCTCTTTTAATTTGTTAATAATGTTGTCATTAATTCCTGATACTTGGTCCTATATTCTTCCTGGAGACATAACTGAGCTGTGTAGGTAATACCTCCATGTAGAGGGAGAGGCTTGCTGAGTTGTTGGCTCTTGGTACTTAACAGGCTCCACTCTGAATCCTTATTTGACTTTCTGCAAAGCCTGCAAGTCTATGCCCTTCATCCTCTCCAAGCTCGTTAATAATGTGAGCTGGACACAAGCGTGAAGGAAAAGTCCATCTTAGAACAGATCCCTGCTGGGAAATCCAGGCTGTGAGCAGCTCTGCATATAACAAAGCTAATGGAAATTTCCAGGGAGGGCTTAGAGAGCTTAGTGACAGCCATAAAAGGGAAGAAAGTAAGAACTTGACTAGTGGACTTCACTGTCCATGACTGACACAGTGTGGAGAATTGCAATTTTTCACCCTAAAGCCCTGGGCAACAAATGTCCTTTTTACTGCATCCACATCCAAGGGGCTCCATGCTACACAGAGCTTCTACCTTATGCCTTGAAAAATGTAAAGTGCTTCTAGCATTTCTATGTCTAGAGTTTGATGAAGCAAAAGTTAAATGCTTACATTACCTGAAAAATATTCATTTCTCCAATGTAAGCTCTGCTTCTTTGGAATGAATCGTCAGGCCTTGATTTGCAAATCTCCTGGGAAACGTACTGTGAAAGGCTGCTCATTTACAAAATTCAAGCAGTATTTTGCAATGGGAGCTAAAAAACCTTTAGGCTTTCTGAAAAGGGAGATTGCACTATTTTAAATAGGTGTGGTTAAACCAGAGCAAGTCTTAAGCTTAACTGAAAATCTGATTTAAACCAAGGTAATTGTGGTTGTCACACATCTTGTTGTGTACTGAGGTTGGTTTAAGATGTGATTATGTGATCAAGTTTCTAATGCAAGCATGATGTTAAAACTGACATTTAGCCCACACGATATCAGTATTTCTTTGATTAAATTTTGATTCATTAAGAAGAGGAATTATGATCTTCATATAAAAGGTAGTGCCCAACCAGTGCCCTCTGATAAGTTGAGGTGTATATTTTCCTCACTGTATCTTGATGCAGTCTGAAACATCTCTTCTGTAGGGTCAATCAATCATCTAAAGGCTGGAAAACCTAATCAGGAGCAATCTTGATACTGATCTTAGGGCTGTGAAGAGACCAGTGTGGATTCCAGCTCAGAGATACACAGATGCATACAAAAGAGAAAAAAGATGATGCTGAGGGCCTTGCAGCTTTTGCAAGAGGTAGAGTTGGGAAAAGGTAAGTTGTGTAGCTGGCCAAAGGAAGACACTGCTGAAAGGTAGCAGTGAAGATGCTTGAAGGGACTGCCAGCTGTTTTTGCCCAGCAGGGAGACACACTTAGGCCAAACTAAAAAGCCAAGTTAAAGTGATGCTGAGAATGTTGAACTCCCATCGTGGCCAAGTGTAGTGACCATGGCTTAAGCCTGATATCAGTGTTCCTAGAGTCAGCAGCTGGAGCAGTGGCACCTTCTGCTACAGGTCCTCCTTCTAGGGAAGGAAGGCAAAGCCCTTGATTCTCTGGAGTAAAGGAATAGCTAATAGGATGCTGGCAGTGAAACTCAGTTGATAAATGATAGTGTTTAAAACCAACATGAAAAGTTATGCATTAAATTTAATCCTGTTGATTTCACCATGTGCAAATTGATGGCATGGAGTTAGGTAGACTTTGCTATCCAACAACCCAACTGTGCAGTAGTGAGACCCTGCAGGATAGGTAGGAGCAAGGCCAGGAGCTTTTCATCTGATGTACTGCATCTCAGCTTGGTACCATGATGCTTTAGTAAAAGTGAAATTGATCCACTCAAAGAAGTGTGTTTGTGGGAGGTGGATTTTCTGTGTAGTACAGGAACACAGTGTTTGTGGGAAGAGAGGAAATACAGTATTGTCAGCTTCCATCTTGGCCTGGGGGAAGCTTTGTGATCTTCTAGTTTCTTGTCTTGGGAGCTGGTAAGCTGGCACAGACAAGTAAGGCACATATTGGCGAGGAACACCAATCATGTACATAGCTGTGGGGGACCATGGCTGTTCTTTGGGAAGCATGAAAACATGTGGAAGAAGAGGGAGAAGAGCATGGGTCAGCTTAGCTCTGTTGTGTAATAGCTGTAGATACCAAGCACACTAAACTTTTTATGGAAATTTTGACTACGAGGTCAGAAAGTCTCCCTTGCCCAGGGACTGTGCTGCTTCACAGACAGCAAAGTGTGACAGCTAAGCCTCAGCCAGTATATTGGGCAGAAGATGGAGCAGCCAGAGGGACTGGCACAGTTTTAGTGACAAGTTCCTATCTGTCCTTAAACTCAGAACCCTTTGTAAATCGACGTCTCACTGGCAACTGCTTTCGTGGGGTATAAGACAGCACAGGACTAGCTCAGCACAAAAAATAAAAAAGCAATGTCTAGTTACTTCTTGTAGCCTCCACGTGTGATTCTGTTGATCTAGTTCTGTTCATCTCTCACCCTGGGTCCTAACCTGAGGTGCTGTAGTCCTGGCAGCCTAGCCCCAGGCCTCCAGTGCATACTGCTTTCCCATTGCAGCATGTCTGACCTGCAGCATCCTCTAAGCTGCGGTTCTTGCCAGTTCTGCTGAGGCATCTCTTTACAGGGACAACAGGTTTATATGTACATAAAACATCTCATTTGTACTGAAGCCATAACCAGGTATCAACTATTTGCCCTGATTCCTTCAGATTATGGGACTACCCCTAGTTCTGAGACTGTCTGCAGGGTGATGGAAGTCCAGATCTTCAGACACAGTTCCCTTGTGTCTACACAGGCTTTATTTTGTTGGTTTGGGTTTTTTCCCCCCACTTGCTTTGCTGTGACCACTGCACAGAACTGCTACCTCTCCTCCCAGCACCATCATGTGTGTTCAGTCCAGCAGCCATGTGGTGGTACACAGCACCATTTCATCCTCCCAGGCCAGCTCATATGAGTTGTCAGCATGGTGTGGCATGGTAACGCAGCCCAGAGTGCTTCTGAAGGTGGAACACAGCAGTAGATGGGAGATCTCTGTGCTGCCTTGGACTGCATAGTGAGTGCCCATCCTGTGACATTTCTGTATGGCACAGAATAAGCTGGATTTGCTCTCGCCTTCTTCCTGGTGGGATGTGTATTTGCAGCATTATGGTGGTTTCATTTCTGTGATTGCCTGTTGTCTTCAGCAATGGTTGATAACCTTGTCTGTTCCTATGAGCAGTAAGCCCTGACTTGATGTATCTTTTGGGGAAATGCTCTGTGAGAGGTTTCCAGAGTGTTGGCTGTTTCATTATACTTAGTAGCATTAGATGTAAAATTCAAGTTTGGACTTTTCAGACACACATGCTGTTGATGCAGTACAAGCTCTTCTGTGGAGTCCTGTTAAAACGTCCTTTACGTCTGTCCTTGCTCCACAGTGGCTGTCAGTGAGAGGGATGTATAAAGGTTACTTATAGGTAGAATGAGAATCATTTGCAAACAAATTAAATGCTGAATAAGAGCAGTGTCTTACTGACTACTACCTAGTGCATGAAGTGCTTGCAAACACCACAGGGACAATTAGCCTTCTTTGTTTGGTTACTTGGAGTTAGGGTAACCTGATTTTATACACACAGTTGTATGTCTTCATTTCCTGAAAATCTCTCTGCTCCTGTTGCTATGTCTTGGTGCTAATATTGAATTGATATGAATGGAATATTCCAGAGTAATCTGGTAATACAGCACTCTGTGTTTGCAAGGTGGTTTATTGTGATGAGCCCTTTTAATGAAAATGTGAACTGAGCTAGATCTGCAGTTTCTGTAGGGAAGGAATAAACACTATTCTTCATGTTGTGGGGATGTAATGTGTGCTGGCTTGAACAGTGTCCTGTCTTGCTAATATTTTTTCCTTCTTTGGCATTTTAAGGGCTTTAAACTCTGGAGTTGAGTACCACTGGGACCAGCTGAATGAGAACGTCTTCACTGTGCATTCCAGCAGCAGGAATACTGAGCGGCCTGGGTGAGTCTCCTGGGTGTTGGGTTAGAGAGGCCTGACCCTTTCTACTGTTTTTCTTAGATCTGACAACATCACTTCTTTGTTCCCTTACCACTGGCAGCTTTAAATTTGCAATTTTCTCCCCCTTTGACATTGCCTAGTTGGGTCACCTGGCCTTCTTCCAGCAAGTGCCCAGAAGTGCCAGTGATAGTAAAGTACATGTGTCATTCAGGGCCCCAGTAACAGCATGTGGGGCTTGATGTGTCAAAAACACCGTGTAAAGCAAATGGCCTTTGGAGGCTAATTGATGAACAGGGGAGTTTAGAGAGAAAAGGGCAAATCTATGGTGCTGACCTGATGACTGATTTTCATCTTTTTAATTGCTGGTCATGGGACAGTTGTTTCTCAGCAATAAACTAAACTCTAAAAATAAAGCTAAATCCCCTGATGTCCACATTGGCTGTTTCAGTCTGACCAGTGATGTACATGTTGTTGTTCTAAACACAAGGGTGATGCTGCAGTCCATTGCTTCTTGCCATAGTTACAAGTATTTCTCCATAAGCCAGCTGTTCCTAGCAAGAGGGTGACAGTTGTGTTTCTGAGTTGTGAGCTTCAGCATACCAAAGAGGTTGTAAGCTTGTTTACAAGGTAAATGTCTGGGCTGCCCTACAGCCTTGGTGTGATTGTGGGTGAAAAATAAGCACTAGAGATTCTTTACTCTTCTCTATGAGTGGATAGTGCCACTACTTAAGTTTTTGACAGTGCATACTCAGTCTGGTATAATGGCAGCTTGAAGGCAGAAATACTGGTCCAGAATGAACTAGCTCAAAGAGAGCAAAAAAGTGTAGCAGGTTTCAAAGCCTTATTAAAAAAAGATTGTAAAGGAGGCAGTCTTTCCTTGAATCTCTTTATGATTCCCAGCACTTAGAGGTCAGTTTAGAAAAGAGTGTAGTGGCATTGTCAAGATTCAGCTGTAGCATTGTACACTTCAGCTGTTTGAGTCTGAGAAGCTAATGAGCCTTGAGGTGGTTCCTGTTGTTTGCTTTTGAGAACACAGGATTTCTCTTGTCTGACTGGAATGGGCAGAAATGCCTGCTGGAGTGCATTCGTGTGTGATGCTGACAAACTAGGAAGTGCAGAGGAGGGAAGGGACACAGGCTACATCCATGGGAGTTAAAACTGCCGTGCAGTGCAGGAGGGTTTGTGTGTGTTTGTGCTTCTGCACTGCACATTGTGCTGCCTCCTCAACGAAGTGACTCCAAGACAGTTCTGCAGGCTTAATGATGCTGCAGGGATATCTCTCCGTGCCTGTAAGACACGCTGCTTCTATGGAAGGGTGAGTGGACTGTAAGACTCTGTTGGCCTAAAACTCAAGAGACCAGTGTTTGGAAATAAGTGGAGGTCACAATTCCTTTCATCCCCATCCTCATAGTAGCAAGCAGGTGCCTGGTTGGAGTGGAGGCAAGAAGGGCCTCACATTCATGTTTCAGTCTTGCTTGGGCATGTTGCCTCCAGTGATCCTGGTCTTACTTGTTTTTCTCTCTTTTCAGAACCAGCAGAGCTACATGGAGGACAGACAGGGACATGGGCCTGATGAATGCCATAGGCCTACAACCCCGAAATCCCCCCACCTCTGTGACATCACAGGGTACCCAGACTTTGGCACCTCAGCTGCAGAATGCCGAGACTCAGACAGAGAGGGAGGTACAGGAGCAGGAATCCACCTCTGCAGGGACTGGTGAAGGTAGGAGATCAATCAGTGGTTTATCTGATCGAGCTTACCTGGTGATTTAGGAGTTTCCACATATGTTCCACATCCTGTCAGTGCATTTGGATGCTCCTTTTATCTCTTCAGCAAAGATTTATCCTGCCTAATTGCCTGTAGCCAGGCATAGATGATCAGGAGAGTGAATCTCTGGCCATATGAAAAGTTGTCTTTTTTACATGCTTTGAGGAAGAAAAATTAATTCTTCTCCAGAGCATTGTGTCTTTGTAGAATCAGCTGTTCTGCCTTCATTCCTCACACATCTCCTGAACTCTTAACCATTAGTAAGGCTTCAAGCTGCTGAGTGCTATCCTTTCTGCCTCTGTGTTAGGAGTTCAGCTTGGTCTCCAACTTATGCAAAAAGTCTGCAGGCTTCACAAGCTCAACATTTGGATACAAAATAAGATATTGTAAATCACTTCTCACAGAGCAGCTTAGAGGATTCTGTTTAGTTTGATTGGTGAGGTACATGATGAGTGCCCAGCTCAGCTATACAAAAATGTCTCTAATGGTTAACAGTCCAGGAAAACTTAGCAATATGTAAGGAGGTGGAAACAGCTACTGTGCATTTCCTGTATAATGATAAAGTCTCTAGTCTGTCGAAAACATGTTGATTTATCCAGGCTTCTTGTCTCAATACTGTAACATTCTGCTTCCATTCAGCTCTGAAGGCTTGGCTGGGTATGGATTTGGCAGTATATACATAGGAAAGACAAGAGGAGACAGTTCTGAAGTTTTGGTTCATGATGAACCTGCTTGGCTTTGGGAGGCAGCCCACAACATGCCTGCATGTGCCTGTATGCCTGCTTGTTCTCTATCACTCTGAAAGTTACTTTTTGGTATGTGACTCTTCCACAGTTTCTGCTGTGTAGTATCCAGCATGTGTGATATGGCTTTGTGTTTCTCTGATCTCAGCTCTTCTGTACAAAGTTAAGTGGGAAATTCCTGCCCACTGGGGTTTCCGTCTGCTTATCTCAGCAGAGCTGAGATTAACCTCTCTGGAAGGTTAGTACAATTGAGGGCGTGTGAATAAGACTGGAGCACAGACAGTCTGGACAAATGCTGAACTCATGGGAACGGGTTCTTCCACTGAATGGGCTACACAGACTGAGAACATGGTACAGTGTGGGACCTTCTTGCATGTAGGCCATGCAGGCTTTGGGAGTCTGTTAAACCAGGAGAGTTCTCCAACACTGCTTCTCTCTCCTGTTCTGCAACCATCTGATAGTTTCTTTATCTTGTTATTTCTAACCTTTCAATTTCCAAATCTAGATCATGGGTTTTAACTAGACTGTTAATGAGATGGGGAAAGGGCTGTTCTTTACCAGTGCCTTGGCAGGATATCTTTACAAAGAAGCAAAACTTGTAACATTTGGAAGAAAAGGAGTGTAAATAACAAGCCTAGGACCAGTACTTCTCTTCATCTCCCTTTCTTGCTTGGAAGAAGATCAGAAAGTTCCACATCTGGTGCAATTTCCATCTCAGACATTGACTTACCATATGTCCCCTTTCAAATGGCCACAGCTGCAAAATGGGCTGTCACACTCCTGTCACCTATATTAGGGTCTGTAGAACAAAGGAGTTACTGCAGTTTAAACACATGCACCAGAGATGAGCCCAGATGCTTTATCCTGTTGTTGATCAGTTCCTATGCCAGTTGCATCCTCAGTGGAAATTCCAGCGTAACGGCTCAAGAGTAACTTGGAACAGGAAACTGGGAAGATGGTAACGGTCAGGAGCATGAAGGATCAAAAAAATCAGTAGTAATCCATGAGAGAAAAATAGCACAAAGACCTAACATGAAGCAGGTACTTGTGGCAGCAGTGGTCTGATTCATCTGTGTCTTTGTGCCTCACATTACACATGAGCATTGCTGGCTGCTTGTGACGGTAAGCCAGCTGTTTTCCCAGCATCATCAACTCTTGTGATGTACGTCCAGTGTGCTCCAGCCAGCAAGATTAGGTGCTGTGGTGCTTTTCTGATGGCTAATTTGCCTACTGTAATACTGTAACTCTGTCTGTTGGAAGAGAAATTGTTTTTCCTAATAGCATGATCCAGATGTCAGGGGCAAAAAGGAAAAAAAAAAAATGCTACCAGTAACTCGGGGTGTGACCCAGGGCGAATTATTAATCATCTACCAAATGGCAATAAGTCTTCCCATACTACAGCACACCAGGGGCTATGGAGATTAATTAGTGTTTTGTATGGGGCTTTGAAGATGGAAATCACTATGTAAAGGCTTAGCAGCATTATCGGCAGCAGAATGGATAAATCAAGTTTGATTCTGAGTGATGTAAAGGAAAGTGGTTTAGTTATCACCCTGCCATGAGGGGTAAAAAAGCCCCAACCAACCAACCGACTGATAACTGAAAAAAACCCAAATCCCTTATATGTTTAAAAAAAAAAAAAAGAAAAAGAAAGGCTAATGCTACCCTGAGAGTGAGTTTCTGTCATCTGTTCTGTCAGCCCTGCTGTTGTGGGGAATTCTGGCTTAGGGCATTTCTTGCAGATATGTGCTTACTGTACAAAAAAAAAAAAAAATGCAGAATTGCATCAGAAATCTAATTAAGTTCTGTGCGGGTATAAATAGTTTCCTTTTCTCATGCAAAGCTCTGCGGGGACTTTGCTGCTCTGATTATCTTTCTACCTCCTTTGGAGGAATGAGTATATGATGACTTTGTTAGAAGTGAATCCCTCTAACGTCTGAATCTTTCTGTTTTGCAGCAGTTAATAATGGACTTGTGAACTCTGCTCCCACGCCACACATAAAGGAAAGGTAGTTAGAGTTGAGAGAAAACTAGGAGAGGTACCAAGTAATGCTTAAAACAGTGTTTGAGCTGCCTCCTATTTTTTTTTAAGCTGACAGACATAGTGGAAATAGTGATAGAGTTGTAACTTTGAGGCACCCTTAATTAGAAACAATCTGTTGGGCGTTATACTATGTTTTCCTTGCAAATAGGCAGGCATGGTGGGAGTGGGATCTGCATTCAGCTGGTAAATTGAATCTCACTTAAAACCCAACAAAAATTCCTAATGAGATTTAATGGCCCAAAGCTTTAACCTTTAGAAATCATAATTCCCAGTCCAGACTGGGTCAGGCCGTGGCTGCCAGTTGTTCAGGCTGTTGGATCTTTGGAGTGTAGTGAAAGGGGCATTAATGCAGGGTCTGCAATTGTGTCAAAGCTGCTGCAGGCTGAGGGAGAGGGACCTCTGCAGAGCTGCAGGACACTTGTTTGATAGTGGGCCCATGCTGTCCCCTGGCTGTTGAGAGTATATCAATGCATTTTTCAGATAATCCAGTTGTTAAAGAGAAAAAAAAACCAACAACAAATAACTGAAAAGCTATTGTCATCTGATTTCATATCATCTGCGTTGTCTTTGGGGCTTAAAATTCAGGTAGCTATCCCAGTGCTTGTTGTGCAAGTAGGCACATGTTATGAGTTACTGAACTTGTAGCCATCAGAATATCTGCTGTCAGTGGATTGCTCCTTTGCCTGTGATTGGAGGAGCAACATATTCACTACTGTCATGCCATATACAGTTTTTAACTTGTTGGGTAGAAGTGTTTGTCACCAGCCAGTACAAATTTCCATTAGTTCGAACTGCTTTCAGAGGTTGCAGCAGATACATTTGAGAGGAAAGAGGGTTGTAAAAGAAGGCTTGAGTTTGTGAGATTCTGTCTGTTCAAACTACTGGTAGTGAAAAGACAGCACATACAAGCAAAACTTTCCTGATATAAGCCAAGTATCCTGAGGATGCCTAAGGAGCACTTAGAAGCAATCAGTGTGCCTGCATGTGATGTAACTTATTTAATCTGAGACATTAGGAACATGTGTCGAGGGGCTGCTTGGGCAGGAATACTCTGTCCCCAGCCGAGCCTCATGAATGCTAACAAGAAGAAACATGTTGTTTTATGTTAGCTGAACACGTTCTTGCAATGCTGTTGTCAGATGTGATGTGACTTTTGTGCAATTAGTGTGGAAATGGGAACTGGGACACCAGGGATCAGCTTCCAGATCTATCTCATTCTCCAAGTAGAAACGTGGGTAGATCCCTTAGCCTTTCATCTGCCTGTCCATCTGTAAAATCTGCGTCATATGTCCTATAGAACTGCAAATTTTGCTTTCTCTTTAAAATCCTCTGCAAACCACTACCTAAAAAAACAGACTTAGGTTCTAGAAGTATGTACTGTGCAAGCCTTTACAGCGTGATCTACTCCAAGTACTTGGGTCTCTTGGGATTAAATTATGTGGGCTACTTTTAAACTCTCATTACAAAAGTAAGTTTCACTCATATGAATAGCCAAGGTGAGACATTAATAAGAAAATTTTTACAAGTTAAAGCAGTTGTATCTTTTCTGAATTCTGTGGAGTTGTTTGGATTAACTACCTCAGAAAGGAAGTTTGAACATGTTTCTGGGCTTGGTTGGAAAAAAAAGTAACTAGTAGTATTTCTTGTGGCATTAAGGGAGATATGATTATTCATAGCTGGTTATACTGTGGTGTGTCCTTCCCTTTTCTATTCTTATGCAAGGGATGAATTAATGTAAAAATGCTGATATTTTTATCTTTGAGCATCTGAATTAGTGGGTCAGCTCACACCTCAGAGCTATTATTTTATGTTCTCTGAAGACCTAGATATCTCTGCAGTGCTTACTGTTAGTTCTAATTTTGAAGCTTTGTTTGCAAACATGGTTTTTCTTGGTTTTTAGAAAGAGGAATGTTGAAAACAAGAAAATTCAAGAGCAATGTCAGTATATTGCACAGATACTGGGGGGTCTGATCCTTGCTTCTGTGGACTTTGCATTTCATCAGGAGTGTGCCATCCATGCCCAGAGATAAACAAGTTGTACTCCCTATAAGTACTTCAATGTCCACTTCATTTAAAAGTGGAAATACCCTGCCTTATGCCCAACTCCATCAAACGTTTGCAAGATGTTTTGTCTGTATAGTTTTCTGTGTCAAATTCTTGTCTTGGAGTAGCATAGCAGAGGACTTTTAAAAGCAGATGCATTAGCTAGGGAATATTTAGTTAAATGTTGAGACAGTCAGCTACATTGACAGAAATGCCCTAGTCTTTGGGATAATTGCTCTCAAGAGTAATGTTTTGTTCTGTGTTTGGAATAGACAGGGGGAGTTTGGACCTCTGGAAAGGTCACTTTGGTTACAGTAGAAAACATTTGTAGGAGCACAGCACTGCAGCAAGATGAAACATGTGGTTTTACAGCACTGTTGTTGTTTTGGGTAAGTGCCTGTGTGCACACCCTGAACCTTCACCAAATGGAAGTCAGCTTATTTCACTTGCTCTGAGTACTAATGTAGTCTGCATTGGCAGCCTGATGAGAGAATGTGTGTGGGAGTCACCAGGCAGTAGAAATGGGCTGTGTGTGAATATGTGCTGTAGCTCAGCTCAAGGCAAATGGCACATCAAGCTTTGCTCTGAACTAGTCAGCCAAAGTCATCATTGAAACCTGAGAGAGGGAAAAGGGGAAGACAGTCCCCAAAGCAGAGGTGTTTGTTGGCTGCTTGAATGGTGAGCCTCACTTCTGGCTCTTGAAGGGCTGGGAATTTCCAACATTGCTCTGGGATCTGAAGGCTCATGCCTTGCTGATTCCTGCTGTGGCATCAGCCCTTGCCTGTTCTCTAAGCAAGCACATGCCTTAATTGGAAATTCAGCCATAGCATATGGTAATTTAGGGGCAGGGAAGAGCAAGGAGTGCTGTAGTGAAGCACTGAGGAGCATTGGCTGGCTGGGAGTCCTTGCTGTTTTGCTGTTCCAGTGCTTCTGTACTGGACTGGTTTATAGTAAGTGATCTATCAAGAGCACAGTACTTGCTGTTTCAGGACTTGTGTAGATAGGACTGTCTGGCATGTCTGTAGGCCAGGCTGCAAATCTTGGCTTTCTTAAGCTTCCTCTCCAGCCTGGCCAGATGGTTGGTAATGAAGTACAACTATGCCCTCAGAAGGAAGTGATGACTGAATCCAAAACCATGCTTCTCAAACCTTCCACTTAGTTCTGCTCATGATTAGTGTTTCAATATCCCTTGGCATGCATGTTTTTCACACTGGAGCTTCCAGTATAATAGCTGCCTCTGTCCTCAGTCTTTGTACTGGTCAGCCAAGTTCCTAGTCCATACATCAACCACATCCTAATTCATCCATCAGCCACATCCTGAATAGGATTTCTCTGCTAGAGTTGTGGGTCAGGCTCTTTCCAGGGGGTATTCTTGCTCATTCCTCTAAGGCCATGCTGCAGATTCTCATGTGGTTACAGGTGTCTCTGTGATCCCACTGATGCTCTATCAAGGGGGTTAGGTATAGTGAATATAGCAGGTTTACTACATTCCTAGCAAAAACTTACTCTACTGGTGAGATTTCAATTTGCCCTTAATGTCCATAATAGATCTACAGCAGGGCAGTGTGTCAGCAGACTTACTTGAGGATGAAATTAACTTTGTCCAGTGGTGGGGGACGCTGGCAGTGCTTGATGCAAGTACCAGTGGGCCCATGAGAAAAGGGAATAAGCTGTCACTGACTGACTGCATGACGTCTCTGCAGTGGCATGGTGTGGACTTTGCTGAGTTTCTTAGCTCTCACACTGGATACATGATCATACAATCATTTAGGTTGGAGAACATCAAGTCCAACCTTTGACCACTAAGTGCCATGTCCAGTCATTTCTTCAACAGCTCCAGGTACTGTGACTCCACCACTTCCATGGGCAGTTAAAATGAGTAACTGCCATCTCAGTGAAAAAATTCTTCCTAATGTCCACCCTGAACCTCCCCTGGTGCAGCTTGAGGCCACTTCCTCTTATCCTTTTGCTGGTTAACTGGGAGAAAAGATTGGCTGCAACCTTCCTTCAGGTAGTTGTAGACAGAGATAAGGTCTCCCCTGAGCCTGCTTTTCTCCAGGCTAAACAACCCCAGCTCCCTCAGCTGCTCTTCTTGTGACTTGTGCTCCAGACCCCTCACCACCATCACTGCCCTTCTCTGGATGTGCTCCAGCACCTCAATGTCCTTTCTTGTAGTGAGGGGCCCAAAACTGGGCATGGGGTTCAAAGCACGGCCTCACCAGTGCTGAGTACAGGGAGACAATCACTGCCCTGGTTCTGCTGGCCACACTATTGCTGATATAGGCCAGGATGCCATTGGCCTTCTTGGCCACCTGGGCACACACTGGATCATGTTCAGCCACTTTTGACCAGCACCCCCAGGTTTTTTCTGCTGAGCAGCTTTCCAGCCCCAATTCCCCCAGCCTGTAGTGCTGCATGGGATTGTTGTGATTCAAGGGCACCTTGTTGAACCTCATGTAATTGGCCTTTGCCCATGACCCAGCCTGTCCAGATCCCTCCTCAGATCCTTTCTACCCTCCAGCAGATGAGCACTCCCAAACAACTTACTGTCATCTGTGACCTTACTGAGCGTGCACTTGAATCCTCTCATCCAAATAATGGATAAAGATATTAAACTCTACAGCCCCAAGTGTTTTTGTTTTCCTAGTCAGTGTGGCATTTTGTTTTTTATTGTGTTTTAACTCCTCCCTGCATCTAGCTTTGTTGACATTTTTGTTCATCTCCTTGGTGCCAGGAGAGCTCACGGCTTTCTCCTCAAATCAGCACTGTGATAGCTTCATAGAGGTGGGAGTGAGATTTATTTCTTTAATAAGAATCAGCAAGATCCCACTGTGGAATGTTCCTAGCAGTTTATTATTACAGATTGTTCTCCCCAAATGCTCCGGGTAAGGTTTGTAGCAAAAGGAGGATGTTGAGAAACCGAACTGGGATGAACTTCTCTGTCACGGTGATTTAATCTCCTACATGGACAATTCTGTGAGATTTTGTTCTCCTGAAGTAATCTTAAGCAACCAAGGTATCTGACAATGGTTCTCTCAGAGCTTGCTACAGCCTGACTATAAAGGGAAGCTCAGAGATAAGAGTAGACAAAGACTGTAGGTCTTGAGATGGTTTTTTGTGTTCCTCGAAAGATATCAGTCAAGGGGAGCAAGAGCCTACACACTTGATTGTCGTTAGTGTGGATGACCATGCTGTTTTGCTGCTTTCTGCTGGTGGCCTGCTTCTTATGTCCTCCCTAGACTGACACTGGGGACATTGCCATCATGTCATCTGCCTACTTCTTAGGTGAAGTAGAAAAAGCCATGGGGTTCTTTAACACCATGGTGAAATGTTTGGTTTATTGCAGTGCAAACTGAGGTTTCTCTTCCCGTCCCCATGGGACTGTCAGGATTGTCTCTACAGCTGTGATAAAGCATCCTGCCTCTTTGATTACCACCCCTTCCCCCATCTTTATGGCTAGATAAGAGCTGCTTTTCCAAGGCTTGGACATGTAAGTCTATGAGGGTTACCTGTGGAAGTGACCAAGATTTTCTTGACAGAATACTGTGCCTTTGTTTGACACTTAACCAAGTGGAAAGTTATGGAAATAATATACTGGGCTCCCTCTAGAATAAAACCTGTCTTCTGTCCCAGCACATGCATACTGTGTGATGCAACTGCTCAGCATGCTTTATTTTTGTCATAGTTTGCCTTATGCACCAAAGTTGTTTCTGCTTTCTTTTGCAGGTGAAGGTCCAGAATATGGGGCCAGTGGGGAGGATGCCCTGAGCAGGATTCAAAGGCTGATGGCAGAAGGTGGCATGACTGCCGTGGTTCAGCGGGAGCAGAGCACCACCATGGCGTCCATGGGCGGCTTTGGCAACAACATCATCGTGAGCCACCGGATCCACCGCAGCTCTCAGACGGGCGCGGAGCCCGCTGGGGCTGAGGGCACGGCAGCACAGCAGTCCAGCTCTCAGCAGCTGGGCACAGAGCTGGAGGGACGCATCCTGTCAGAGTCTGTGCAGCTGCCGGAGCACGGCCTGAGCCCGCGGACAGCCCCAAGCGGGAGCGAAGGACAAAGCGCTGGTGACCTGGACCTGCCAGAGCAGGCCCAGTCCTCCATGGACACCGAGGGACCAATTGAATACAGTGACCTAACTAATAATAACCATCTGCCTGACAGTACCAACTTCTATAGTAATGGCAGCACCAGTGGGGAGTCGCGGAACAGGTAGAGGTTGAGTTGTGTGTTGGTGCTACCCTTGTACTGCTCAGCAGAGACCTGTACCTCACAGCTGGCCAGGAGCTGGAAGAGTAGGGATGGGTGGCTCTAACAGGATGCTGGTGGTTCAGAGGGTTTCTCTATCCTGGGTGATGGGAGAAGGGATAAGAATTGCAAGGGAAACCATGGGGAAGAAAGCATACTTCCAACATTCCCACTGCTGAACAGTTAATAGGAATACAAACCATGCTTGCTGCACATCAGCCAAATTTTGAAGCCCCATGGCGTCCCCTGAGCTAAGTCCTGCAATTTGGTGTGTCATCATTTATAAAGCCTTTTTCCTTTCCTTTTTCCTGCCCTTTTATACCTGTGGAGCTGATCAGTAGAGTGAAGAAAGGGAAGGGGGCCTGCAGCATCTTTCTGGAGACAGGCAGTACTGGGCAAACCCAGGCGTGATGCTCCAGCTCTGTTGCTGGAGTGGAGGAGTCTTCCAGGCCACAGTCTCTCTCCATAGCACAGCACTGCTCCCCCAAAGTGTGGTGTTCTGAGACCAGTCCTGCCTATGCTGTGGTCTTTTTTTGGGAAGAACTGGGCTTCACCAGAACATACATGGCTCAGGATATGCTCACAGGTGGGATCTTTCCTTTTTAGAGTTAGTTTAGGACTTGGCAGGAACTGAAGCAGAGATGCCGTATGGATGGGTGGAGGGACAAGGGCTACTGCTCTCTAGTCAGGATGCAGTTCACACAAGGATGTTCTAAGCCGTGCCAATATTAACATGAATGAGCCACCCCAGTGGTTTCATGGTGCCAGGACTGAGCTGCATGTCCTTGGCAGGGGGCAGGAAATCTCTTTCAGCTCCAGGCCAGGGTGTGAGGTATGGGTCTGTGATGTAAGGTGTTGCATGTGAAATCTTGACCTTGTACATGTAGTTTCTAGTGGAGAAGTCAAGGCTCTGATACTTTGTTTTTAGTCTCTAATGTGATTTTCCTTTTCGTTTGTAACTCTCCATCCCTAGCAGCTTGTGGAGGAAGTACAGGGAGAGTGTGAGTGCTAACGAGGGAAACACCAAAGATCAATGTCATTAAAATATGACAAACCCTTGCTCGACCTCCTGTCTTCATTTGTGTGATGATTGTTTCTGTGTTTGGCCTTGGGGAGAGATACATCCATCTCAGAAGCTCTAGGCAGCATACAAATATCAGATGATGACCACCCCCTTCCCAGGAGGAAAGTAGACTCAGCCTGTGAGTTGAAAGTCCAAAACTAGGAAACAGGGAGGTGCATTTGGGAGTCTTGCTTGCAAATCACGTTTTAACCAGTCTGGAGATGAGTAGGCACCTCTGCATTTCCCATCATTCAAGTACTGCAGTAAGGAAGAAGAGGAGCGTTTCACCTGTCCTCCATAAAAAGGTGTGTAGAGGTGCAACACTGAACATCTTGGGCAAGCAGAGAGTGGTCTGTCTTGCTGACCCCTTGATGCAGAAGAAGGTTGCAGTATCTGGCTGTTCTGTATAGAGGAATGCTCACTCCCTTGTTACCACTGTGGTGTGAGGGATGTTTCCACTGCTGTCTGAGCACCTGCCAGCAGCTGCTGTTGCTCCTGCCCAGCTCCTCTAGATTCTGTGCTGCTAAGACATTACAATAAATAAGTCTGTCATTAGGCAGCACTCAAGCTCCCAGTCAGAAGAGTCTGTTAGAGAACATTAAGCAAATCTTCCCTTAAATCACAGCCTGGAAATGAACCTTAAATCAAATCAGCTGCTGCCAGGCCTCATTGCTGAGTGTTAATGAGGCTCTAAAACCTGCCCCAAGCCAACCACATCTCTGATCTGACAGGAGAGCAGCCTGAAAAATGGGATTCCCTCGTGTGGTAAGGAAGGTTTCATGTATCCCTGTATTACTGTGGAGGGGCTTGAAGATGTGCTGGCAGTTGGGAGCCAGAAGAGCTATGTCTCAGATGGACAGACAAGGCAATGCAGGTCTAGACAGAGCTGTTTATTGCTCTGCTTGAAAACAAACTAGAACAGAACCTGGGGGAAAAAACTGCTTCAGCTCAGCTGACATCACTTCTTCCCTCTCCCTGCATGATTCCTGGAAGAATCTTGAGGCCCATTCTTGGTAGATGTGTTGCAGAGCATTTATAGATATCCATTTTCAGGCTGAGCTGAGCTATCTACAGAAAAATTTCCATCTCAGTTGGAGAAGTGTCTTCTGGGCTGCCTCACTCTGGTGTTGGCAGATTCTCAAATCCTGGCGTGCCCCATTGCTGGGTGCTCTGGCCAGGCTGCTGTGCAGGGGCCTGAAGCCTGCTCTGCTGATGGCTCCCTCTTAGTCCAGACCTGCCCCCACTCCAGACTGTGGCAGAACAGGGGATGAGCTCCAGTGGGAGCCAGAGCAAACCACAGCCACCCTCTTTGCCATTGACACGGGACATCTGTGAAGCTCTAAAGCATTTTCCCATTCAAGACTTGAAGGGGAGGCTCTTCCTGATGAGGTAAGGGTGGAGGCCTGGTCTGGGCCAAAGGCTGCTGACAACTGAGCCCAACTGCAGCCTGTGTTCTCTGCAGGCTTTAAGCAGCAGCAGTGGGGACAGGCTTAATCTTCTGGTGCTGCCTTGGACATGGTTTGCACATGGCCTGCTGTGGCTACACAACCGAGCAGGTGACCTCAGTGGTGATGGGCTCATGTGTACAGAGAGCAGTGTTTTCCTACGAGTCTCAGGCTTAGGACCTGCCAAGCTCAAGACTTGCCCAAGACCTGATGGAGCGACGTGAGTGAATGGGTGAGAAGAGGAAAATTGAGGGAAAGAGGGAAACTTGAGCCCACTTATGCAATGGACTCACCCACACCCACCCCAGTGCAATTTATTATGCCTCCCATGCTTCTTGTGGGATATTACCCTGCTCCAGCCCAGCAGTCTTGCTCGGTTGTTTCAGTCAGGGCTGATATAACTGTGCCCTCAATCACCACCCCTGAATCTGCGTGGTGACCTGAGGCCTGGAGCCCTGCATAGAAGGGATTGCCCACACCAGGGTCAGCACAGCAGCTCGGGGCTCCTTACCCAAGCCTTGCAGCTTTACCTGCTCACTGCAGTGTGACAATGCAGCACTGAGGCAAATGCTGTGCCAGGAGCAACATGGAAATTCAACAAGAGCTGCTTCAGGAAACCAAACCAGAGCTGTGCATACTTGCTGGCCCAATTTAGGAGGCAAAATGAGAGCTTTGCTGCGTAGGAGCAGGAAATAATCTTAAAAAGTGAAAGCTTTTCTCAGCCATAGACTGTCAGGAGCCTTTAAATGTGCTAACAAAATCCTGGGGAAAGGAGAAATACAGTGCAGAGAATTTTATTTAGCTTTCAAAAGGCTTTTGATAAAGCCCCTCACAAGAGGCTATTAAAGAAACTTAGTCACCTCAAGGGTGAGGGGTAGAGTCCTCCTGGAGAGAGAAGCTGTAGGAATTGGAGTCAAAAGTAAGAGCCATTTCTTGGCACGGAATGAGGTTAATGGTGGGTTGGTTGGGTTCAGTAGGAGCCAGTGTTCTCTAAAAGCCCTAATGAGCTGAAAGAGGAGGAGAACAGCTGATGATACAAGATTATTTAGGTTAGCTAGGAAGAGAGAATGTGCCAGAAACCTGGGGCAGTGGGAGGAGGTAGTGGTTGGAGTTTCTGTGCTAGAAGGGGACTTTTTGTATGAATCCTTCACAGATGGAAACCTGCATGGTCCCTGCTGCAGTCAGTGAATGCTCTGGCATCCCTGGGCGTGGAACCACACCAGAGGATGAGCACTGCCTGGAGGGAGACCTGGGATCCCAGAGAAGGTTGCTGATGCCCTGGCAGGTGGTACAGTGAAGTGGTGATACCTGCTTGTCCCTGTGAGTCCCAGGTTTTCTGCCCTCACTCCTTGGCTTATCTATTGCTCCATCTCCAAGTACTTCTGTTTGACCCCCCTGGAAGACCCACCCCACGTGGCTGCTGTGGGGTGACCTTGCAACTGGGTGGTGCTGGCACCTCAGCTGTATGTGACCACCAGGAGATGTGCTGGGCAGGAAAGAGAGGCAGGGACCTGGTCACAGCTGGCTGCATGGGGAGTCTCTCCCATTATTACTGATGCCAAAGCCAAGCCCCATAACTGGTTCCTCCAGTTACTGCTCAGGCTGCTGGCTAGGGAGCAGTTGCCCTCTCTGCTCAATCCCAATCTGTCAGGTTCTTCTTCAACAGGAAAAGGCAAATTAATTAAAGTGTGCAGCATGTGAGCCATCCACCACTAATTGGGATCTCGGTGTGCAGTGCATAAATGTCATGCCATTGCCACTTCTGCATGGAGGGGGCCCTCAGCACACGAGGGAGCTGGAAGGCAAAGCAGTCTTTCCAGCTGCCACTCTCTGCCAGCCAATTAATGCCCGTGTCCCTCTCCCCTCATCCCCGGGAGCAGAGGCCTCTCCCCCCTCCCTGCCCGGCTCCTGCCGTGGTAATAGGCAGCAAGCCCATAGAGCCACTCTGTGCACTCCGCCGAGCACGAGGATTTGTTTTCCCCACAGCATCTCGAGCAGAAGTGCCTCTCATCTGCTCCCAGTGAGCTCCCTCGGCTCCTCTTTGTTTTGCCTTTCAAGCAGTTGTTGATGGCATGTGGCACCGGTAGGAGCTGGCAGGGATCAAGCTGTCTTCCCCAGGATGCTGGCCCTGAGCATCAGCTCTCTTTCTGCCAGGGGCCAGCATCCCGGGGAGGACACTGTAAGGCTTCCCTTTTGCTTCTCATCTGAAAATCAATATGCTGCTGCTTGGTCTCCAAGCATCCACCTTCTGTGCCAGGGTCTTGCCTGCCAATGCAGGCCAGGCTCCTCCAGCTCGGTGGTGCCACAGGGGAGTCCCATGCAAGCAGCTCAGACAACTCAGGGGGACAGAGTGTGAGCAATGAGAGATGTCAGCACAGCAGGGAGCAAATGCCACCACTGGAAAAGGCAGCCAGGCACAGAAGTCTCCAGGAGGAGCTGTTGCTGGAACTGGACCACTGTGTATGTGGAGAGCTGCAGCTGGTCTCTGCCACCCCACTGAGCCTTCACCTCAGCTGTGGCTGGCCATCCACTGAGCTTCAGGCAGGCACATGGATTTTGGTAACTGCTGAGGTTTGCCTTTCTGTTCTTGAATCCCACCCTGCTTCAGCTTGGCTGGTGGAGTTGGACTTTGGAGTCCCTGTTCTTTCCAAGCTCAGGAAACACCCAAAGCTCCCTGGCCTTCCACCCTTATCCTCTGAGCTCCTAGCTTCAGCTTCACAGAGGCTGGGATAAATAGCAGACACTGCAAAAACGTGAGATATGGTCATTTAGGCTTGGCTTGGTTCTTTTTATTTCTTAGGCTCAGCTTCATGGCCTTTTCCTGGAGTTTAATGCTGGACCCCTGATAACATCACAGCTATTAAAGCCTGTCCCTCAATCCCCAGTTCAATAATACAGTAATAGCCTGATAGGATCAGGAGCTGGCTCTGATGGCAGATGGACTCCAGTCCCTTCTCCAGCACAGCGTGGGGCACTGCCACCCGACTGCAAGGAATCTTTAATTTGCAGATTATTTGTTTTCAGTGCAGAGGATGGGAGGATGAGTAAATGGTGATTGCTGGCTGCTGACCAGGCACTGCTGAGAGCCCTTTGTGGCTGGCACCCAAGCCCAGCTTCTCTCCTTCCCCTGGGTCGTTGTCAAAATCCCCCCAGGGTGTTGTGGTCACGGCTCTGCCCTTTCCCTGGGGGTCATTACCTCTAGGTTTGCTTGTCCTGCCAGACAGAGCTGTACCCCATCAGGGGTCCATGCTTGGGCAGGGGCCATAAACTTCCCCCTCCAGCCTGAGGCAGAATTAAAAAAGGCTCAGAGGGTCTAATGAAGACTGACTGGCAGCCACTGGGGAGGCTGATACTAAAACGTTTAAGTGCTACAGCAGTACAGAGGGTTGTATTTATCTGTCTGCCCACTGCAAAAGTTCCCATGGAAGCCCTGCCAGCAACCCTCTGTTAATCACCTACATCAAAGGAAATGCTAATTAAAACAATTATTTAGGGAGGGACTGAGGCTGGTCCTGCTGCATTGCTGAGGTGGGGACAAGCACAGCCATCAA